CACACAGACAGACGTCAAAACATACAGACATACGCGATATCGGCAGATGAGCAGGGCGTGGCTGCGTCCTCTATTTAAACATGGAGTGGCGTTCATAGGACATTCCTATTAGAGACAAGTGTCATCCTGCCTTGTGCTGACCTGACCATAAGACATGACTACCACTGCCCAAAAGCGGCAATATCCCTCAATACTCGCCGCCAAATGAATACGAGGACACGCCCTCTCCATCCCTGGGATACGGAATGCACTATATTTTAGGATGGGACGTCTGAATCGAAACACAAAGCCTTCTTACCGAAAGCCTGCGACACCGTACTCAATCAACTTGTTGAGGTAACCAGTCATCATTTTCCGTACCCAAGGGCGGCCTTGATCCAAATCCAGCAGAGAAGTAAGACGACAATTTCTCACCTGGAAGACAATAACGTTTTGTTGAATATTTCGGAAAACGTAAAAAGACAATAATTATGCTTTCTACCAAATTTTCAATCATTTTTCTCGTATTTATTGTGATATTATTTTTCCTTTGCTTCATTTGTTCATTCTGCAAAGGGAATAGATCGCTTACGTTTACAGCACTGCGCTGATAATCTTCAGCCTTAATGCCTCTTTTGCAGCGGTAATCATTGGAATCAACTTTCGTATAAGGCACCTAAGTCGCATTTTCGTTAAATTTTGAACTATCTTTTCCGAACATTTAGAAATAGTCACTCCAGGGAAGCTCTCCACTTCCTCTCGGCTGTCAAAGTCGGTACCAGCGCTCGAGTATCGTCCATCTTCGCCACTTTTCATATTCACTCCAACCATATGATTCAATACAACGTCTACTATTATTCTGAAATAATCCATATTCAAACAAGCATTAGTATTTGAAGAAGCTTTGGATGAGGCTGCGCTCATCCTTCGCGGCAGCGTCCACCAGCGCCTACCAGCGTCCGCCAGCGACCATCGAGGTACTAGGGAAGTATGGATATCGATCCACCGTCTGCCCGCGTCCACCAGGGTCCGCAAGCGACAGCGACCAGGAGTACGGTGTACGGTGGGTTGCACACGACGCAATTTCAGACGCCCAATCCGGCTGTCTCCTCCTCCTCCGCTGTACACTGCCAGCAGTCTGCTACCCTCCTATTTCCCCATGTTCTCTACTCCTGCTCGCTGGTGGTCAGTGGTGGAAGCTGCTAGCAAGAAATCCGTACTTTCCTTCGAGACGGTGATGGTTACTGGTGGACGCAGCTAGAAGCTGCTAAACGCTGGTAGACGCAGCTAGAAGCTGCTGGACGCTGATAGACGCTGAGATTGATATCTATACTGTCCTAGTCGCTGGCGCTGACGAACGCTCGAAAAGCTGATGATCGCTGGTGATGGCTGGGGGAGGGGAGAGGGGCGCTGCCGCGAAGTATGAACGCATCCTAAAAGAATTCGGGAACAGTCTTCCTCTGAAGGGGTCACTCTCTTGCGGAACTTATTCTTAGCCTCGTCATGTTCTGAACTGATGACGCATGATAAGAAGCAAGGGAAATCCTTCTGAAAGCAAAACACCCCTTACCTAATGCCAGCACGATTACACCTTTCCACCATGTTTGCAAACTGTTCCTCATTTCCACTCCGTGAAATGAGTTTGTAGCTCACAGGTTGGTATCTGAAAGTTTAAAACTTCGTATGGGCCCTTTTCCTACGATTCTGGCACTGGGATAGGGTTTGAAAAAAATATTAGTCCCAAAATTTTGCACCAAATTCCGAACTTTTTTTTAACTCATTTTATAACTTTTCTATGTTAACCAACAAAACAATGAGTATACTCCTTATCCTTGAGGACGGGGTAGGCGTGGCATTCGAACATGGCACAGAACTGGTTACTCGTGGGATATTTCAATTTGAGACAACCGCCATCTTGTTCTTTGTTGGACAGAGACGTGACCACATTTGGGTCAAAATGAAAATATCTCTCCAAAAGCATAGCCACCACGACGTTTAGTTGAAGTACGCAGCCACGCCTACCTCATCTCAGGGATTTCGAGTGTATCTCGATGTAATATTTACAAACAGTGTTGTTCGCTACGTGTGTGTCGAGGGGTGGTGGAAGTTCTGGAGCGACGACAGCCGAATTTCCACCAATTTCGTCTCCTGCCGGCTTACTTGGTTCAAGTTATTACCCCATAAACAAGCTCATTAGCCTTGCTGCCTCACTTAGTGAGCTTTGTTTCGATTATCTAGCTGTTGATGCCTCATTTGGTGAGTTTTGCTTCAACACTTTTGGAGGTCCCACGGAAAAGACTCCTGAAGTCAAAGAACAATGGGGC